TCTTTTCGCACTCTGTATTTTCCTGGAACTCGACATCGTCGATAGCGATATCACTGCGTGGAGTGCTGCCGACGACACCTTCAAATATCACCTGCAAAAAAAATTGTTGAAGACATCAAAAATCTAATAATCACATGCGAATGTTTCAAAAACATAAAATGATACTAATCGATCGGGTGAGGGTAGTCCTGAAAAGGACTGTTGTCGGTAAAAATGACTGACACTGTAACAACCAAGAGCGGAAGTCGTTCGGTTTGGTTTGCTTGCTATGTGAATGTCGCCAACAGCCAGAGGTAATTTTTATGGTGCTGTTAGTTGTTGTTCACATTTTTTGAGGGGAGTCTTCCATAGCCACACCGTAGATGTGTTAACTGCCTGGTCTGCATACCTGTTTATAGTGCCTTCATAACAAACAAGGGATCCATATCACCTTGCTTTGAATTTTCCGACAAGATTTGTCCAGATGTGCGACGTTGGATTAACATTCACATTATTAGTCACCAGCGCTAGTAATTAACTAAACTCTCTTACCAAAACCCAATTAAATAGACCATGATATCAGCTAAATATAGGGAATCGTTTTAAGTCTTTCAATTTCAAAAGAAGAGTTTCACTAACGATATATTTCTTGCTTGTTTAAATTTTGTGGATCACTGAAAAAGTAAAACTATCTTACCCTATAAGTGTCGTTAAAATAAAGAGGCAATGTCGCTTTGTGCCAGTCGTTTCCCTGGTTGCCTGAAAGCTCCCACAAAACTTGATCTCCAACCTTTACTCTGAGTGTGTGAATAGCCTGCCCATACATATGATAATAGAACACCATACACGTCGTGTTGCCATTGCTAGCTATGCGTGGAGACTCTATCGTCGAAACGTCACCGAAGGTTTGTCCAGAAGCTTCTACGTACATGTAAAATCCTGTAATAAAAGCGTTTAGGGTATTGATTTTGTTTCCTTCCAAATTAGGTAATGGAGTAGTTAATATGGCTAAAATAGATTTTGCCTTCTCTTTAAACATTTACTTTATAGTAGCGACTTTTTTATTTTAAAAATATTTTTAAAATGGTTTAACATTTTTTGGAAAATTCTGTGAAAAGTTAATTAAAAAAGGACTGCTGGGAAAGAATTGCGATTCTTAGCATAAACCATTGCATGAGAAGTGATAATACCAAATGCTCTCACCAAATCCAGAGGTGTGATCTTGAGAGGGTCCTGTGTTGCCAGTAACAGTTGGACCAAATTTTCTTGTCCATGCGAGACTCCGGCTGTCTGCTGAAGTTTCCCAGCCACAATACCAGATGTCAAAATTACAGCTTGCATCTAAAAGAATACATTTCGTTACCAACAAACATTGATTTTATGAGTTAAACGAAAATGTAGAACAACCTTATGTAAATTGAGCGAACTAGCTTATTCTTATCCCAAACGGATATATTGGGACGTCACACCACACGCTTTAGAAATGGAAAGAACATATTTTATATTTTATCCTCTAGACTTGAATCAAATTTCTTGGGATAGGGGATAGCACTAGACGTTAACTAACGATTTCCCTCTCAGCTCCGACGCGTACCGAACATTCCTTTTTTTAACAGCTTGTCATAAATACAGTTGTCAACGAGTGAAAGTTGCCTATTCGTTCCTTTTACATGCTATAGTCGCACCTAAGAAGATACTGTAGTGATTACCAACATGACAACCTTACCCTTTGCATTCACAGTGTAATCATAAGCACATTCTACCCCCACATCTTTCGTGTGATCACAGTTACTGTTTCCCCAACCAGCATGTGGACAAGCTGCGAGCGTGCTCTCATTTCCCGTGCAGTTGACGTCATCTAGCCATATTGGCCCATCAATGGCACTCCCAGAAATTGTACTGTTGAAGAAGTCAAAAGCTTCCGGGTAGCCCAGCATACGACACACCACGTGGGCATCATTGATATCCCAATGATCTTGACATATCGTACCCCACTGGCCATTGTAGTAAAGTGAAACACGACCTTCATTTGGAAAGTTTCCATCCAACAGCTCAAGCTCTATCACTGATGATGAGTAATAATAAACCATTGCTTGTGAAAGTGTTGTTGCCTCAGCCAACTTAAAGCTGTGTCTTTCATCGTCCAAACTTCAGGAAATTGGCTTTTTTATTATAAGAAGTTTGAATAATCAAATGACACTTGCTAATATCTAGGAAAATTGTTAAATTCCTGAAGAGATTTAGAGAGAATTATCGTACAGCTCTGCGTGCAGCTGCTTCACACTATTCAATGTAAATAAGTGGGGTTGCATGAAGAAATAAGCTTGCTCAAGATTATTCTGTATTTAACAATATTAGAAGATAACAATGCACCTTATGCCACAGCATTTTCCAAACTGTAGAATGTGTGTTAATTTTACTGCAGATGTCATTTATGCGTTCCAGTGGCAAACGCAGTTAACGTAATTGTTTCCTCGTTCCTTCTATGAAAAGTGACGTTCCCTTTAAATATAAAGCCTACAGTATACGCACGACACATACACATGCCAAACCCTTGTTTATACCTGGATATTTCTCTTTACACACAACACCTGCATCATGATCATGGCTGCAGTTATGCGAACCCCATCCTCTGAATGAACACGAAGCCACCGAAGACTCTTTCCCACTGCACCATAAATCATCAAGTAAAATTTTCTGGCTGGTATTTCCGGCGCCAAATCTTCCTTTCACTTCAGCAGATACAGCCCCGGGAAAACCCGCCATTCGACAAATGACGTCTGCATCTTGAATATCAAAAAGGTCGCGACACACGGTTCCCCATTCACCGTTGTAGTTGACCTCCACACGACCTTCTCTTTCACTTAACCCATTTACTAATCGAGCATAAACAGCTGTAGTGATAAAATTTTAAAAAATGTTACTAAAAGGGTAAAGATTCTTCCGCGCGAAAAATTATTACATGTAGCCAGGGAAAACTGCGGTTCTTAGCGTTGAATCTTTGTAAAGAGGAAAACACAACACAAAGTACCCGTAAGTTTAACCTCTTAACGCGGGTCGTGGTCACCCTTCCTATGATCCCAAAGGATTGCTTTTATTTTTCAACTTTTATATAACGACCGTTAAGCGGAAGAAAATATCAGAACTACATGACCATTTTAAGAAAAAGATAAATTCTTCATAAATCCATTCCAACGTAGCGGAAGAAAAGGCGTGAAAATTCAAAGAATTCCTAAAATAAAATTTTATTTTCCGCGAGTGACCATGTAATTGAGGTTTCACCGCATAACAGATGGCAAAGCATCGACATTTATTAGACAAAGCATACATACTAGGCAGTCCAACTGGTTTGTTAGTATCATTTACTACTGTGGAATCTGGAAATCCGTTTGGCCGCAGTGAATCACCGCAAATTACTCCTGCGTCTTCCTCATGATCACAGTTATGAGCCAACCAACCATTGTGACCACATTCAATAAGGGAACTTTCATTTCCAAGGCAATTAACATTGTCGAGCCAGATGGGTCCCGTTCCGTAAAATTCACTTGCGTTCTGTTCTTTCATAAGCACGCCAAACGAGAGTGCTTGCCAAGCATCCTTAAAGCCAAGCATTCGACAAACTACAGTGGCGTCATTGATATCCCAATCGTCATCGCAGACCGTGCCCCAGATTCCATTGTGATAGATCTCTACCCGGCCATACACATCATCTCCATCTCTCAATCGCACAATTGGTGCTATTAAATCAAAATAAAGCAGAGTAGTTCAGTCATTTCATTTCATTTCTTTTTTGTTTTAATTTTTTTTTTCATTTTATTTGTCTAAAATACCCTCTACAATATTTCTGTACTGACACTACACCGAAAAAAGCATTAGCTAATCTAGGCGGGTAGTGTTGAGGTACTTAATTATACTAAATACAGAATTTTATTAATTACAAAATCATACTAATTATAAAAATTAATGAAGAGAAAGATGGATAAATTGGAAAAAAAGTATTAGTAAAGAATGTCACTATAAAATGAATTATCTATTAAAAGTCTGAATGAAAATAATGCTCATGCAACAAACCACGACAGACAGTTATCACCAGGGGAACTAATTAAACTTCCAAGTACATACAATACAAAGGATACTTTAGACGTCAGTGTTTTGACCTGCTTTTTCTTGAGTCTGCTTCTAATTTCTCACAAGGCACTCATATTCATATTTTGAAACTCATTGATTTAGTTGAAGAATTAAATTTCAATAAAACAGTGAAGTGTATTCAGTTGCAAACTGCGCATTAAGGAATTACCTTTAATTTTCTCCTTGCAAACTACACCAGCATCTTCACTGTGATTACAGTTACTTGATCCCCATCTTCTGAATGAACAGGTAGCTAATGAGGTCTCCTGTCCAGTGCACCATAAGTCATCAAGCAAAATCTTCTGAGTGGAATTACCTGGACCGAATCTTCCTCCTACCTCTGCAGATACTGCTCCAGGGAAGCCCATCATTCTACATACGACTTCCGCATCTCGAATGTCAAAATCATGGTTGCACACAGTTCCCCATTCTCCATTGTAGAAAACCTCGACCCTACCTTCCCGATCACTTGATCCATTGACTAATTGAACTTGAACAGCTAAGTTGAGGAAAAAAATAAACTCAATATTATGATAAATTGGAAATGTATGATAAAAGGATGAAAAACAAGCGGGAAAGACTTTGCTCCTGGGTGCACTCTACTTTGGTCTCACGATTTTTTTTCTATGGTGGTAGCACACGAAGTTCTCAAATAGTCTTCAATTGTAACACAAAGTGATATTTCTAGTTTTGTTGTGACCGTCCACATGCGATAAAGAAAGAAAATCTGAGCACACTACGAGGAATCGAGCCTCTGACCATCGCTGTTACACACGAGAGCTAGCCTACACATTGAACATCTAAAGAACGCAAAAATTCTATTAAATAAATGTTATGTCTAAGGACATAAACAAACACGAACAAATAGAATAGTTCCTTAGGTTTTTCAGTGACATATAAGCACATTCATGATACTTACACGGTGGTCTAACAGGCTTGTTTATGTCAGGGACCACTGTTGATTCAGGAATATCTGCCCCCCTTGTTTTATTACCACACCAAACTCCAGCATCTTCCAAGTGATCGCAATTGTGAACCAACCAACCACTATGGCCACACTCGTTTAGAGAACTCTCGTTTCCGAAACAATTAACATCATCGAGCCAAATGGGTCCTGTACCATAAAGATCTAGTTCGTCTTTGGTAATTTCCACAGCAAATGAGATGGCAGTCCAAGCGTATTTGAAGCCAAGCATTCGACAAACTACAGCAGTATCGTTGATATCCCAACTATCATCGCACACTGTACCCCAAGTACCATTATGATAGATCTCCACTCGCCCGAAATCAGGAGAGCCACCATCTCTCAAACGCACCATCGGAGCTGTTTAATTGAATGAAAATAGCGCATTCTTTATCTGATTCAAATCTACGTACATGTTTTTTTTTAATAGGAAATTCTTTTATAGAAATATAAGAGCATTTTTCTCCTCTCTTTTAAATAACTAGTGTGTAATACTCGACAATGAAAAGGAGTCTAATCGAATCAGACATAGCACAACTCAAATGCACGCATGTTGAGGGAAAACTAAAAGGGATGTTCAGTCAAAAAGAGTCTGCTAAGGAAAGAGAACAATGATGATGCTGACATACCGGGCGGAAAAGTTGGAGTGGCTGAGCTCTGCATCACGGTCAGTGAAGGTGAACTTGGCGATATCACTGTGGGAACAACTATTGTAAAAGAGCTTCCTGGTGACATTGTCACTTGAGTTGCAGTGGAAGTAGTTGGTGTCGACAAGGCTCCAGCACTCGACAAATGCAATGATGAAGATTTCTGCCCTTTCAACAAAACAGCGCTAGAAGAAATTGATGATGAAATTGGTTGCGCGGTTGTTTTCACAATTAAGTGTGAAGCTGACTGTTCTGCTGTGGAGGGAGTCTTTTGTGACTGCCGTGGTTTCACACTGGAAATTCGTAAGGGTTTCTTTGTGGGTTTTTCTGTTGCTGGACTGTGACATATAACTTCAGCATCTTGGGTATGATCGCACTCATTGACACCCCATCCACTATGGCTGCATTCAGATAACGTGTCTTCTTGACCCGTACACGACAGATCACTTAACCAGATCGGATCACGCCCCCCTGAATTCTTAGTGCAACAGCCAGCCGTCCAAGCCCCAGGGAATCCCAACATTCGACAAACAACTGACGCGTCTGGCATATCCCAGCCATTCTTACATACAGTTCCCCAACGTCCATTTCGGTATATTTCTACTCTACCCCAGTTAGAAGACGTTCCACCAACAAGACGAACTTTTAAGGGAACACCTGAAACGAAAGAGAGATGGTCAACATGAGTGTAGTTATTCCGGTTAACCCACTTTTTAGAGTATCAAACCAACCAAACATTCCATGCTAATGGTTCACGAAAAAGTATGAAAGTCACAAGTTGTAAGAATGGATTTGGTAGCCAAACGAACACTAATAAAACAACGACATCGTATCAGAGATAGGGACGGCAACTAGAGACAAACTAGCAAAGAAACAAACCGAAATGTTCCAAAATATTTATTTTGCAAGAGTTAATAATATATAAAAAAAAAACAAAGGTAAAAAGAAAGGTAAAGCAGGATATTTTTTCATCAAGTATAAGCTTAATGGATAGAGTGATAGGGAATTTTCTCGGGCCTTTCCTTTTATAGGGGGTGTCATTAGACATACATTTACCTTTCATTTCCACCTGAATGATACTCTTGGGTGCTGCAAAGGAGCTGAGAAATGTGCAGCGAAAGCGTGTGGCATCGGTGTCTGTGACATTTTTCAATGTGAATGCCACATCCTTACCAGGAACCATATCAAAAGTGTCCTCATTTCCAACTTTTTGGTGAAAATCATTAGCATACCCTTTAACAGCCATAATCTGCCATTCGTCGCTGTAAAGAAACTTTTCACGCTCCACAATAATTAAAGAAAAGCGATCTGCATTCGGTCTTTCCTCTTTTGTGAGGGATATTGTCCATTCCAGTGTGGCGGTTGATCCTTTGCGAACATTACTGGGTGGTGTGATGCCCCATTCAAGAGAATCTACAGGTTTGAAAAGACGGAGAGAGTCAAAAGGAAAATCGGAAGCTAATCCACGCTTATGAATTTCGTCCAAACCATGGACGTCAATTGAGGCCGTGAACGTTACACATAGACATCGATGTAACAGAGACGTACTTATCTTGTGTCTCTGTCGACAGACGTTAATACTGGTAAAGAGGTGGAAGACAACGAAATGAGATTGCTAGTGCACGCTGCGTTACAATGTTAATTTGGGGAGCACACACTCAGATAACCAAGCGCGAGTTGTGAGGATGCGGGAATACGAAGCGATTCATTTCACTTAACTCGCATGACTTCTCGTTGATGGGCATCTGAGCCCACGTAACTAAGTTTCTGATCCTTAGGAAATTATTTCACTCTTTGGTCAAAAGTGAGCAAAAAAAAAAGTCCGTTCTCGGGTCAGAACCGAATAATTGGGTAAACAAAATATCTTTCATTCGAAAAAGATCTCTCTGACGTACTCAACAGCTCAATGTTAATTAATCTTTAAAACCAACTGCTGTTAGGCAGGGAAGGAAACCAGATTCGTGGAGAGTAGCGGAAATCGAGGTTAAATCTTGTGTCCTCTTTCTCGTGTTATCCTGTTGCCTGGATGTAAAGTTCAGCAATATAGTAACAGTGACAAATTTTCAGAATTGATGGCCATCATTCCCTCTCATCAATATATTAAGCTGCAGTTGCAATATCAAAATCTTTGTTAACGTTTTAGCATTTTGACCGTTATAATGAAGTTCAGAGAGGATTTTATCCTGCACGACAGTGCAAGGCATTTGCTTTACAAATCCGTGTTACCGGCGCAAAGCTGTCTTAAAAAAAATAATTTGTAAGCAGGATGTGAATCGTGATAAAAATACGTAACAAACAAATTAAGTCACGTAGAATTAAGTATTATTCCGCGAACATTAATTTTCGCATATCAACGCATGACTTTGTGCGAGAGTTATCAATAAGTTTCTTGACACTTTATACAGCAGCCCGTAAATTTACAAATGAAAGGAAAGAATCCCAGGTTTTGCGTCGTCGTTGTGAGTTTGAATACTAAAACAAATGATTTGCATGAACTGGCAACTTGAACCGGTCAGCAAAAAAAATTATGAAAGTTTGTTTTCGGTGTTCATGTCATGTTATCGTTGCATGGAATAATGTTGTCAAATTTGCACTTGAAATATTTCCCTGTAGTCGCGTATTTGTCAGCTAAATAAACATCTCTAAGTCTGCATGTATTCCAGTTAAGCATTATTAACGGGTATGCAAATTATCTCAAAGGTCTCTTCGACGATAATAATCCCTAAATATATGAAATAGTTTATCGTAGTTTACAACGAGTGGCGGCATCATTCGCGAAAAAATCGGCGCTAGTATTTCTAAGTTTATTCAGAACTGAAATAGTCGTTGCTCAGCACCGTTCAAAGTTATGTGGTGGATGGTTTGGAGACGATTGTGAAAAGCACGTAAACATTTGCATACGGCATCGAAAACTTACTTGTTAATGAACTCGGTGAATACAGGAACAAAACCAGCAGGATATATACAACCATCGTCACTCTCGAAGAGATCGATTAAGATATAAAATCGAACTTGAGTGATAGAGATTGACATGGACAGTTGAACCTTACTTAATTCGAAATATGTCCGTTTGTGATATAAATGAGACAGTGACGTACTTATTAAGATATGAAAACACACAGGAATGTGCACACCTCTCAACAATAAACAATAGATATGCTAAATCAGTCGCTAATGATCTATTTTCGTCACGCCAGTTTGTTTCCGGTTGATGTCGTAATCCGTTACAGATCCTTCTAGAGTAGGCGAAGTTTTCAAAGACATGGCCAAGTGTCAGTTAACCATTTTGTAAAGTATGGTGTCTTTATTCTGTAAAGTTCGAAAGAAAAAAAAAGAAATCATCGGCGGGGAAGATGTCCTAGAGTTTAACTGGCTATCACGCGCCCGTAAACTACACAGGTTTTCGCAGAACGGACGGCTTTTAAGCCGGTTGAGGAAGTAGAAAACGAGTTATTATGAATAACACGTTAGCTTTGAGTCCGCAATGACGTTACTGGCTTGAGGAAATGGGACTTGGTTTTTAGCTCGATAGGTGATCAGTGTGACTGTATGTACTTTTTTTTCCTCGAAAACTACTGCTTTTGCTTTCTTTGTTTTTTCTCACCAAATATTGAGTAATATATCATGAAAACGATTAGGGGAAGAAGGTAATTTTTTTTAGAATGTCGGTTCGATACTACCTGTCAGTCGAAAGTAGTACGAATAATTTCTCCTAGGTTCACACTCTGAAGGAAATTTCCAAAACTCTAGGAATACGTTATTGCTTGAATGTGTAATTACTGATACATTAAACCTGTAAACAAATCCTAACGCTGCGTCGTAGTCGTTGGTTCAATATCTAAAACTGACATACAGTACTTTGTAAAAACATTACATTAATTTTTGGGTTTAATTTGCAATTAATCTCTTATAGTTGCTGACGCAAAAGTGTGGTCTCTTGAAAACGTATCGAAGTCACATAAGAATCGAGTTTCATCATTAGGTTTGACGTAAATATAAGGCCGCAACAAGCTTACTCACACATTCTAAATTCTAGAGAGCTAGCAAGGAAGGTTACTGTAGGTAAATTCAAAAAACATTTTCATAGCTTTGAGTGTTTCTCTGTAGGTCGGGGTTGTTTACTTTTCGTGTAAGTTGAGGTTTTCAGGAGAAATTCTTAAGATATTTGGTTCGAACTTCCTCATCGAATTTTTCGGTTTCTCTATTGAAATTTAGACAAAACTTGCACTGCGCGGTAGAAAAATTCAGTTTATCTCTATGTAAGCACCTGTGAAGTGTTTCTTTATTTTGTTACTCACTTAAGTTGGCCCTATTGCTGTAACATCAATATTTTCGCTTTTCTCCGTCACCCGTAAACGAGACAATTTCTTACACCATCTCGGAGAATTAAGTAATGAAAACAGTGGAAGTAAAACTTATCCCTTGAAGAATTACATTTCCTTATGTTTCATCCCTCTGAGTTACTCTTTGTGAAGCTTCATGACTTTACGAACGTTTTGCTTGAACATGACAATTTCATAGCTGATTAAAAATCTTTCACATACGCAAGATAATAGCGAGCGATACCAATTTGCCTTACCACTGGTGTACGCATTTGCTTGAATTCTGAGCGTAAGCTCCAACTAATTTCATAAACGTCTTGCGATTCATATGGAAATTCTCTTTCCATTCCTCTTCAGCAACCCTACCAGTAACAAAGTTTTCCCACCATCCATTGCAAAATCCGGGCTAAACAAAATAATCTTGCAGGAGAAGAGGGTTTATTGCTGAAAATTACACCATTTACCCTCGTACATCGGTTTAATTTCGCACGACCGAACAGCCTAGAAAAAGGCGTTGATGACACATCTCATAACCTTTGAAACCTATCCGATAAGTAATAATTCCCTTTCAAGATCCACGCGGCGCAGCTCCGGTCCGTTACAACAACTAACCCGGAATCAGCGTGAAAAATTATTTGCCAAAAGCTATCAAGTTTATCTTTCTATCTATGAATCTCATTTGATTTGAGTCGTTAAGTCTGAAAGAAGGATCCATCCTTTATGAGGATTTCATAATGTCCAAACGCCAAAAATACACAAATTCAGGATGCAATCATTTCGTAAGGAAAAACGCCACTAGTGGGCCAAACGACATTTCCAATAGGAACATACTGAAGGGACAAGTTTTGTATGGATTATTTCGCCGTCCACTTTCTATAGGGACAGCCAGGTTACACAGACGGGTACCTAGGGATTTAAAAAAAGGCACTTTATGAAAAGCAGCCTATTCGTGAATTTATACGAACGGCAAAACTCTGTGAAAAGTCTTTTTCCAAAACGTTCCAAAATAAGGGAATGTCACCGTCTAGTTCACCGCAGACTGTTTGACATTAATAACGCCTGAATTAAAATGTCAAACATTGATTAGAGTCAGAAAAACCCCCCCTTAAAACCCGAGGAGGAAGTATCAAGTAACAGTCTGTCTATAACCTCTGCGGATAGAAAGCAAAACGATATCACAACGAACTCATAATTATTTCATTTTGGACGGCGTATAAAGGAAGCCGCTCAGATGGCGGTCGTCAAACCTGTTAGGTTTTGCATGTTGCAGAATATGTACCGTTGTGTCTCTTTTTGGTTGAGTTTGGCAGCGCTGTGTCCGTCAGTATCAGGTGAGTGCTCCAGTACCACTGGCACCATGAACTTTGGAATCTTCACTAACAAATAATGAAAGGCCTCTAACAAGAACTCTTTTTCCTTTTTCAGCGATCCACTGGATAAAAAAACCTCCTGGAAACGTTAAAGGAATACTCGGCGAGAACGTTACACTTGAGTGGAATTTTACCATGTCATCCGCCAACGAAACTTTGGACTATTTTGTTTTGTTGCGATCCATGCGATATGATATGATTAAATATAGTCACGGCAAGGGCGAAGTGATATATAAACCCTACGAGGGTAGAGTGGACATTTTGGTCGATGGAACCCCGAAATTTGTCTTATTCAATCTACAAAGAGAGGACGACAAAGTTGAGTTTTGCTTGAAAGTCTCCACAAAGAGTACAACAAATGGTGGTGGGCAGATTCATTATCCTGACCCCGAATGTGCTAAAATTGAATTATTGGGTAAGGTTTGTTTGTATCCTCTCCAATAAAACGAATCGCACGTGTAAATTTACTTACTAATTGTTTTTTCTTCCTTGTGCTGTCTAAATAATACTGTAAAATGGAATTTACTTCTTCATTGGATCGAAAGGAGATATCGTGCACACAAAACATCTTTTCTCTTCCATGCATGTATGGACGAAAGGTCAAATTTGATTATTTGCTCCTCTATATCATATCGTTTATATCGAGTCCGTCAGGCCTATTTGTTTCACAAAAATTCAAAGGAAAAGCATTGTTCATATTCAAAACAGTATAACAAACATCCTGATAGTTTACGAATAGTATCTGATAAATCCAACGTTTTTTAACCGGTGAAATGAGGAACAGTTTCCGTATGCTGACCAATGATGCAATAAAACAAAACGGAAGCCATGCTCCAATATTTTGAAAGATCGACTAATTAACGAAAACCAAAACTAGCAAGAGTAGAAAAAACGGCAGATCTTGGGGATGCCTAAAACGTCATTTACTTGAATTAATATTTCAGATTTCGAAGTCCACATCAAACAATCATCATAGGGCAAACGACACAAACAATGATTTTAGAATTTACCTCATGACATTGTGGCAAAAGTGTGTTGCCTATGAGCTTCAGCATACCTTTTATTCCCTACATGTTGAGCGATGTAATAGATCAGAATACACCGTCAGTCCGATATCAATCTGTAATCGGTATCCTATCACTAGACGTTTGTTTGTTTATCTCAGGTTTTTTTCTCAACGTTATTTGAAAAATAGTTAGTTCCAGAGCGATTGCTGCACATGTGTCAGAGTTAATGAAATGGAACTCAAAACACAGTATCGGTGACAGTCATGAAGCTCTCTTTTCTCTATAAAAATAACTAGTAGAACTGGTTAGCATTCCGAAAAAAGCCCTTTCAAGCAATATTGAAGTTTACGATGTGAAGGTGATCTTCCCATCTTATCTTATGATGTTAGGCTAAATCTGACAACCTTTCATAATGTTACTAGTGCACGTTTTTAATTTCTCCATGACCATATGGACATTGTATGTAACGCCTGCCTGCGTCACCAGCGATAAACTAGTTTTCACGAACGTAACATGAATTCATACGAGAGCTTAGGCGCGTGGAAGTAACAAGGGGATGACCATAACGGGCTTTTACAAGGATAAACAAACAAGCAAAAATACTGTGGTTTTAAATAGTCATTGGTAGTCATCGGATTAATTTCTTGTTTAAGTCGCTTAAGGATTGGCTTAAGCTGCACATAGATAAATTTACGCGTCATGCCAACTTCTTTTGATACACACCCGCCAGGAAGATGCACCTTCTGTTTTCTAAAACTGTGCAAAACAATGATGTTTTCCGTTTGTTTCGTTTTTTATTATTGTTATTTTTCTTTTTGAAGAACGTCCCGGAATTGTTGACATCCCGGAAAACCACACCGTGAAATCTATTGAGGGAGAAAACGTGAGAATCAACTGCAGCACAACTGGCATACCAATTCCTAATGTTACGTGGACAAGATCAGGCAATGAAGCTAAAAACTTTCCACCATCATCTCCCCTAAAATTGAAGAATATAAGCAGAGAAGAGGACGGCTTATACTGGTGCGTGGCAGAAAATGGACTTGGTAAAGTCACTGCTTCTGTCAGGATCATTGTTCAATGTAAGTACATTTGGATACGGTAGGAAATTGGACAATTACCCTTCAAATTTAATAAAAAAATGTACAATGACTGACATGTCATATCGATATTACATTGCGTGGTTACGACTCTCCAAGATCCACTTTTAAGTAATCAGGGGAAACTTTCAGACGTCTTGCAAACGAGGAAAACAGCGAAAAAGGACTTAACGTAGTTCAGGTTTTTAATCACAAATATCCAGCCACTAAACGTCATTGATTTTAAAGGTCTAAAAATTAGGCAATCAGGCTAGGTTGACTAGGCAAAAAGCGTTATCTATCCAACTTCAAATTATACTGTTTTTTAGATTGCAGCAGTAGTGGCAGATAAAAACTAAAATCATGAATAAGAGTTAAGTTAACTAATTAGGATATATAAACTATAAACAGAAAATGAAAACAAACAAAGCGACACGGAAAAAATACTTACATTGATAACGCCTAGTATAACTGAAAAATTGACTTCTAAAATAAATGACTGCGCCGAGCGCGACTTTAAGTAAACTAGAGAAAATCAATTTTGAGGTAAACTGACTTGAAGAGTGTTTACGCGTAAAAGTAAGTGGCTTTAAATACGAGAAGACTGCGAAATAACGTGCGATATGAGAAACGTGCGAAAAGGTGTAACTGACGAAGAAAAACGCTAACAAACGTAAAAAAAACACTAACGAGGAGGTATGAATAGAATAAAGAACGAAATAAATAAACACGAATTACACGAAAAATAACTAGCGCTTAGATCTTACAAGTCTAAAGAAGGAAATATAGATCGTAGCGTTTGAACATGACGTTTAATAAGCTTTCAAAGAGAATTCTTGATAGCTATTCTTAAGTTATGGCACCGTCTCAAGTTGTTACTTTTTTCTTTAGACATAAGATCCCATATGAAGGCTATGGTGCACTGCTGATCAACATCTGTTAATTGAATTGATGGTGTTTAGGTGTAACGTTCTTCAATTAACTATAGCATCTGCTTATGGTCCTTCTTATCATATGTATGATAAGATGTTATAGCCTTGATACAATCTAGACGCCTCTTCGCAGAGACCTATCAGGAAATTACAGTAAAAGCGGTCAGATCCACTAATACACGAGGCCTACAGAGATGAAACAAAGGAGGAAGTAAGCCCAAATGCCTCTTCTATCTTTTATTGTATCTCATATTGATCTTTTAAACTGAAATTTACTCATGTTTTAGTTCCACCGTCAATAGAGGATATTACCCCTGATACCACTGTAAATGAGACTGATAATGTCACTTTGGTCTGTAACTCAACTGGAAACCCTGTTCCAAATATTACGTGGGTATTTCTGGATGACTTGGATGCGAAGAGCATTGGAACTCAAGAGTCTTTAACCTTGTCTCATGTTAAGAGAAACCAATCAGGAACGTATGGGTGTCGTGCAGACAATGGTGTGATGAGACCAATAAACGCCAGTGTACATGTTACGATAAACTGTGAGTCAAAAGAAAACCTTGAATCAACCACTAAAATACATTTGTGAACTAATCTAATACTACTGAAACTTTCAAAGAATTTCATGTAAGTTTGGGGAACTACTCGATGAAAGTCAATTGAATATAGTTCATGTTTCTTATAAGTACTTGACGACGTCTAGTGTATAGACGAAGTAACTTGTACTATTGAGAAAAATTTTTAAAATGTACACAAAAAAGCTCGTAAGTATAAAGATCCGTAACGCTCCATGATTGGTCTAAAAAACTCGCACCATCCTCTCAAGAGTAAAATGCAAAATCAAAACCCACGGTGACTTAGTCACAGGCGCTCTTTCGAACTTTGTTTTTCTTAAACTTCTTTGAGGCTCCTTGTTCCCCTTGGTGGTGACTTTCTGTTATGAACACTTATCTTGTGGTTTTCGGTTACTCATTCATCTCAAAGCTATGCATTTATTTCACTTCATTTCTGACGCAGGCTGGAAAAGACGGAAAAGAAGAACAATATGTTTCTTAACTTCTCTCCGTAGATTCCCCAACTATTGACACCAGACCCATCAGTCAAGCAGTAATTAAGTCTAATAACCTAGAGCTTTTCTGTAACGCCACTGGGCATCCAACACCTCAAATCACGTGGTACAAGGTAGCGGGCCCTTCAGTGGCACTCTCAGTTGGCACAATCCTCAACGTGATGAATATGAACATGACTGATTCTGGAGTTTACCAGTGCAGAGCCAGTAACGGAATTGGAATTGATGCGTTCGCTTCAGCCAATGTGACAGTCAATAGTGAGTTGAAATTAATGCAAGACCTTAAAAAATGTGACAAAGATGTCAACTTTTTTCCCATAAGGAGTCTTGCTAAAATCTGATTGACCAAATTTTTGGTCCTTTTCTTTAACGATCCTTTTTTTTCATAATGTCCTTGAGCCCTTCAGTAGTCTCGTCAACAAGAGTAAAAGTAAACCTGGTATTATTTCAAACGAGGTGACCATGGCCTAGTTCGTACTCATAAAAGAATAACACGAGGTTCAAGAGAAAGTTTAAACTCCTGGAAGTTTTAACTTAAAAGTTGAAAAATAAATTTGTGAAAAGCAAAAATCATGCCAAACAATGTCAAGCATTCCCACTTAACCTCGAATTTCTGCGCAGTGTACCTTTCAGGTCATATTATCAGAAATTTTTTACTTTACCTAATTGAAGCAACATTTACTTATGTTGTAAGGAAATGTTCTTGAAAAGTGTTCACATAGGAGAAAGATATATTAACAGTGCTTCATTCCATAGATGAGGATTATTTTTGACATAGATAACAATTTGATATAACAAACAGTTTACTGAGTTGATCGAATTAGGATGACCGAAAATAACATTAACTATACAAAAATTTCACATGGTGGAATTGGATGAAGTAGTCCTCGTCATACGATAGATCACTTGTCAGCTTAGACTGATAAGGTCCAGATTCCCTTTTTGTCACATTTTATGTAAGTACCCATTCAGTTCTTTTCTCTGAATTTCCCCCTATCAGTACTGATAGTGAATCGAGCGTATTTTCTTAACACTATTTCCGTCTCAGCTATAAAGGTCAGTTTACATCAGTAACATGTGTATATACAAGGCAAAGAGTCTAATCGCAGGACTTCCTCTTGCAATAACAATATTTTTGCAATTTGTTGATATTTAGTTCCACCATCGTTTGATTATATATCCAATGATACCATTGTCAATGAAACTGATGACGTTATGCTGTTCTGCAATTCCACCGGACACCCTCATCCACACATTACGTGGAGATTTTTGAGCGAATCAGAAAAACCTCTTGGATATGAAGAATCTCTTACCTTGTCCAACGTTAACAGAACCCAAACAGGAACGTATCTGTGTACGGCATCTAATAACGTGACGAATTCAAAGACAGCCAGTATACAAGTTACAGTAAACTGTAAGAACAGAATTATTGATCCACTATTATTCAACAGAAATTAAACGTGAATTTTATTTGCCGGGGTTTCAGAAGTTGTTTCAAGAAACAGCTATTGTCGGTGACTGTGACTCACGTTTCCCCCGAGATCTTATTGGTACTTTGCCATGCTCTCCTTTGTTCTGAGTATTCCATATGTGTAATTTCATTTTTGCTTTATATTAATCATTCATCAGCGATCTATGTATCCATTCTCCTTTGCTTTCGGTAATGGCTAATTTGGGGAACCAAAATAAAAACAATGGGTTTTTGATCTTCACTAGATTCCCCGAGTATCTTCATGAGACCCATCAGTAAAACAGTCAATGAGTCTAATAATCTGGAGCTTTTCTGCAACGCCACCGGGCATCCAACACCTCTAATTACTTGGTACAAGGTAGCGGACCCTTCGGTGCCACCCTCAGTTGGCACAGTCCTGAACGTGACGAATATGAGCAGAACTGATTCTGGAGTTTACCAGTGCAGAGCCAGTAATGGAATTGGAACTGATGTGTTCGCTTTAGCCAATGTGACTGTCAATTGTAAGTTAAAATGATTATAAGACTTTAAAGAATCTGAGATAGAAGTTGACTTTTTTTTCTCATAACAGCTCTTCCTAACATCTGATTGGCCACGTTTTTATGCAACCATTTTCTAAACATAATTTCTGGAGCCATTGAGGCAGCTTTTACAAAAGGTGATCCGCGCTTATGCCCTAACAAATACTCTTTATTAGCCTTACTAGCCTCTCGAATAACAGTAAAACTGTTACTAGTCTTCTCATAAACGAAGATATTATGGCCTATTTTCATAAACATCAGTAAAAGAATAATACCTCTGGTTTTCCATCTAGGTAATCAAAATTGCGCAACAAATCTTCCAGATATTCTAAGAGAATATTAATCAAAAAGGTTAATGTAAGCACCGGAATTTCTTTGACAAAAAAAAAGAAATGTTTATCCAGGTGTTCGCATTGGGATGCCAGAAAAGAACATCGATCATTACTATACTTACCTGTTTGCACAATGGGATTGGATGAGCCAGTCCTCCTCATGCGATGTACTAGTTTTCAGTTTATATAAAGTTAAGATTACATTTCCGTTTATTAAATAGACGTATTCATTTAGTTACCTTTACTGAATCTTGCCTCTGTCTACACTTACGTTGAATCAAGTATGCATATGCTGCTGATCAGTGTACATTAACAATTCAGGTGTGCTATTAAAGCAGAGTCCCAATACATTCAGACATTCTCTAACAAGAAAGGTATTGTTGCAATTTGACAACATCTAGTTTAATCATTAACGCTGCCCTATGCTGAGAAAAGAACCACCTATGTAATATGCTGAATAAAAGTACCAGGTAATTTTACTCTCTCCCTGTAGACGCCCCAAAGATTGACATGAGACCTTTGAGTCAAACAGTGAATGAGTCTGATAACTTGGAGCTTTTCTGTAACGCCACTGGGCGTCCAGCCCCTCAAATCATGTGGTACAAGGTAGCGGACACCTTAGTGGCACTCTCAAATGGTAGAGCCCTCAAAGTGAAGAATATAAACAGAACTGGTTCCGGAGTTTATCGGTGCAGGGCTAGTAATGGAATTGGAACTGGTGTGTGCGCTTCAGCCACTGTGACAGTCAACTGTGAGTAGAAAGTTATCGATAAATATGAGACTGAAATGAATCAGAAATATATTTAAGACTATTTTCTCGAGCGAGCTCCTTGTCTCTATAAATCCTCTTTAAACATAATTTATCGAGCCCTAAATGTGACTGTTAGAAAAAGTGATCATTTTCCTTTCCCTTGTATGGACACATTAGCCTTGTTACTTTCGGCAACAAGTATGAAACAAATACACGTAGATATGTTGTTTGTCAGTGTCCATCAATAATGTAGATGTACCAAAAAGATATAGAGCTTACTTACAGTATTGTCTTTAACAATAAAAAAATCGTTGCAATTTTTAAATATCTAGTTCCACCATCACTTGATTATACTTCCGATGATACCACTATCAACGAAACTGATAACGTCACGCTGTTTTGCAATGCCACTGGATATCCTCATCCACGCATAACGTGGACATTTTTGAGAGGATCAGAATCAACAATTGTTGGACGTGAAGAATCTCTTCCCTTGTCCAACGTTAGCAGAACCCAAGCAGGAACGTATCAGTGCACGGCATTCAATGACTGGACTAGTTCAGAGGCAGCCAATATACAAGTGATAGTAAACTGTAAGTATAGAAGTCATTGTTGATCCACAATTATTCATCGCAATTAATCGTGAGTTCTGCTTTTCTGGTCAGAGTAGTTCTAAAGAAGACTATTGCTAACTGTTCAAATTCCAGCTTTGATATAGAAAAAACTTTCTTTTTCATACCGGTACGTTAAAAAATCTAAAAGTTGAACAAATGGCTAAAGAGTTAAGTTTCCAATTGGTAGATAAAAAGTATATTGAGGTGGTTCCCTTAGGATGCCGGAAAAGAACATCGATCATTACTATGCCTATTTGTTTACCCAATGGGATTGGATGAGCCAGTCCTCCTCATGTGATATGCTTCTTTTCAGATTAAAGAAAGTTGAGATTACATTTCTGTGCACTAGATAGACGTATTCATTTAGTAACCTTTACTGTATCTTGCCTCTGTTTACACTTATGTTTAATCATGTATGCCTATGCTGTTGATCGGAGTACATCAACGATACTGGTGTGCTAAAAAAGCAGAGTCCCAATAGATTTAGACCTTCCCTAACAAGGACGATATTGTTGCAATTTGACATTTATTTTGACTATCATTTGATTATATATTCTGTGCAATGACACCATTATCAACGAAACTGACAACGACTGTAAAAATACGAAAGTCATCTTGAACAGCAGTTAAAGACGTGAATACAAAAGCGATCTTCGCAGTAATGAACAGCACTTGAGCAGTAGTGAAAATAAGGCCTGAAAAAAAGAATCAGGCCTGTAAGGAATTTGAACCATGATCTTTACGACACCGGTGCAGTGCTCGACCAACTGAGCTAACAAGCCAACTGGGAGCTTATTATCATGTTGGTTCCAAAAAAACCCGTAAAGTTGTGAAACGATTGTGAATATATAAAAGTCATATATTTGAACTGCCCTAAGCCAGTTAGCTTGTTAGCTCAGTTGGTAGAGCACTGCACCTGTATCGCAGAGGTCATGGGTTCAAATCCCGTACAGGCTTTATTTTTACTATTGTTCAAGCAATGTTCATAACTGCGAAGATCGCCTTCAAATCCACAAAACTGCTAACATCATGCTTTGTAAGTAAGGAATACACAATTAGTCGCGATTTCTGCTTGTCGTGACTGTAACTAACGCTGCCCCTTACTGAGAAAATAACCACCTATGCAATATGCTAAATAAAAGTACCAGGTAATTTTACTTTCTCTCTGTAGACGCCCCAAAGATTGACACGAGACCTGTCAGTCAAACAGTGAATGAGTCTGATAACTTGGAGCTTTTCTGTAACGCCACTGGGCATCCAACTCCTAAAATCACGTGGTATAGGATAGCGGACCCTTCAGTGCAACTCCCAAATGGTAGAGCCCTCAAAGTGAAGAATATAAACAGAACTGATTCCGGAGTTTATCGGTGCGGGGCTAGTAATGGAATTGGAACTGATGTGTGCGCTTCAGCCAATGTGACAGTCAACTGTGAGTAGAAAATTATAGATAAATGTGAGACTGAAATGAATCAGAAATAGATTTAAGGCTATTTTCTCGAGCGAGCTCCTCCTGAATTCTAATAGATACAGTATTTGGTCCTTGTCTCTATAAATCCTTTTTAAACATAATTTATCGAGCCCTAAATGTGTCTGTTAGAAAAAGTGATCATTTTCCTTTCCCTTGTATGGACACATTATTAGCCTTATTACTTTCGGCAATAAGTATGAAACAAATACACGTGGACATGTCAACGGGGATATGATCAGTGTGCCTCAACAATGCAGGTGTACTAAAAAGACAAGGTCTAGTCACAGTATTGTCTTTAAAAATAACAAAATCGTTGCAATTTATAAATATCTAGTTCCACCATCACTTGATTATACTTCCGATGATACCACTGTCAACGAAACTGATAACGTCACGCTGTTTTGCAATGCCACTGGATATCCTCATCCACGCATAACGTGGACATTTTTGAGAAGATCAGAATCAACAATTGTTGGACGTGAAGAATCTCTTCCCTTGTCCAACGTTAGCAGAACCCAAGCAGGAACGTATCAGTGTACGGCATTCAATGATTTGACTAGTTCAGAGGCAACCAATGTACAAGTGACAGTAAACTGTAAGTACAGAAGTCAGTGTTGATCCACAATTATTCAGCTCAATTAATCGTTAGTTCTGCTTGTCCGGTCGGACTAGTTCTAAAGAAGACTATTGCTAACTGTTCAAATTCCAGCTTTGATAAAGAAAAATATCTTTTTGTTTACTGGCGCGTTAAAAATTTCTAAAAGCTGATCAAACGGCGAAAGAGTTTAAGTTTCTAATTGACAGATAAAAAGTATATTTAGTTGGTTCCATTAGGATGCCAGAAAAGAACATCGATCATTACTCTGCTTACTTGTTTGCACAATGGGATTGGATGAGCCAGTCCTCGTCATGCGATGTGCCAATTCTCAGTTTAGATTAACTTGGGATTGCATTTCTTCCGCACTAAATAGATGTATTCATTTAGTTACCTCCACCGAACCTCGCCTCTGTCCACATTAATGTTAAATCTAGCATGCATATGATGCTGACCAGTGTACATCAACTATACAGGTGCCCCATAAAAGCAGTGTCGAGACATTCAGACCTTCAGACCTTTTCTAACGAGGACGATATAGTTGAAATTTGTCAATATTTAGTTCCACCATCCTTTTAGTACAAATCCGATGACACCATTGTCAACGAAATTGATGACATCATGCTTTGTAAGCAAGGACAACACAGTAAATCGTGTGTTTTGCTTGTTGGTGACTATAACTAACGTTGCCATATACTAAAAAAAGAACCACCCATGCAATCAGCTGAACAAAAGTACTAGGTATTGTTGCCTTCTCTTCGTAGACGCCCCAGGTATCGACATGAGAAAGGCGATCTCTTTTAAATCTTTCTTATACATTCAATTGTTATTAACCTTGCGGAAGGTCTTTATGGGAGTGTCTTAAAAGAGGTTGGTTGTACGCACCGATCGCAGAAGTGTCTGTACCAGCGACCAAGGTCAAGATTTTGCCACACGAACTGACCAACCTTGGTTAATAAGATATTTCTGCCATAAAAAAAAATGAAAAAGGAAAAAACATGTGAAAATTTATTTGCTCCCCTGACTGGGCTCAAGAATTTATCTGGCTTACTTCTGACACTAACCCTCCAGCCCAAATAGGATAAGAATAACTATTCAAATTCCACCTTCGGACAATTTTCGATTAGTAATAAAGAAAAATACTTCCTCTTTTCATACTGGCTCATTGAAAAATTCTCAAAGGTGACCAATGTAGGAAGGATTTCAAAATACTTATTCATATACTGTTAATTAACGTTAGAAGAACTTGTGGTCTCTTAATTCCTATCCTTGGATGTTCACTATTAAAATATGAGTGCTGGGGACGAAACAAATTGTACAATAAATATGTAGTTTAACAGGAACGAGCGGTACAATGTAATAACTTAATTACCTCTTATTTATTACGTTCTTATCAAGCTCAGGGAGGATATAATTTTTCCCTTGCTCAGTTAACGTCCCTGTTGGTTTTTCTATAGAAAATACAAATTTTTGCCTTGCCAAGTATTATTTTCGATTGTTGAAACCACCTTGTCGTTCCACAGACCCTAACAGAAATCTTTTGATACTCGTCAATCTCAGATAAACCATTTGCGACCCGCCTCACATCAAATGCTACGGGAAACACAGCAATCAGTGGCCGACCGGTAACCTTTCTCTGTAATTCAGACAGTGTACCGCCTCCAGCGCTCGAGTTACGTTTCAAGAACAAATCATTAGGCCTTTTTAGTGGTAGAATGTTCACCATTGAACACGTCAATGCTTCAGACGAAGGAATGTACCAGTGTGTGCCGAATAACATTTTGGGAACCGGCCAAATAGCGACTCTGTACCTAACTGTAGCAGGTGAGAATAGGAAATGAAGACTTTGAGGTAGGATGTGTTAACAAGCTAAACTACTTTATTTCACGAATAAGGTTTTATCATTATTAAGGACAAAAAATTGATATAAAATATAGCTTATTTTTCTTTTTAGATTATGATGACAGATAGTGACCAATAACTTACTTTTTCGAGTGACATAATGTTAAAATTTTCCCCCGCCGAAAGTGTATGAACAGAAGCAAGACTCCATCATACGATTAATTACTTTACCGAGATAAAATTTTTATTCTTTTACAGAAATTTTTCTTTGACCGTTTCAATTTTACTTGATTGTTGGCGACTTTGATTATGAAACGAGTATTTTTCAATCACTGACTTCAGTTGTTCCTTGTTAGCTACATTAGCATCTTTTGACATCAGGAATTATAACAGTGCTCTATCGCTCTTAATGGCAATGTTGTCGCATTTTTTTTAACATTTAGTTCCACCATCATTTGAGTATATATCCAATGACACCACAGTGAAGGAAAATGATAACATTGTGTTGTTCTGCAATTCCACCGGACACCCTCCTCCACGCATAACGTGGACGATTTTAAGCGGATCAAAAGCAAGAATTGTTGGACATGAAGAATATCTTAACTTGTTCAATGTCAGCAGAACCCAAGCAGGAACGTATCAGTGTACAGCATCCAATAACGTGACGAGTTCTAAGACAACTAAAGTACAAGTCACGATAAACTGTAAGAATTATTGATCCACTGTCATTTATCTTGATATTTTGACAAGCCTGATAGTCTGGGTGTTAGATGTCCTGATAAGGACTTGACAGTGACGGAGACTGATTTTGATTTTGATGTCTGTTTTGGTTTTG